GTAGAAAGATATAAAAAAAATGATGACTGGGATGTTATAAATCCTGGTCATGCCGATGACTATCTATAATCGTGCCCCATATATCATATTTTTTTATTATAAATTTTTTTTTTATTTGTATATTGTTGGTCCGGCAACAATTTTTATTAAATAAAGAGAGGGGTCCTGTGCTCTACCCATTTTTTATTTTAACACGATTGTGTGAACAAGTATTGATCATTAGTTATACTATTATTTTGATTTTTATTAGCACTGCTAAAAAGTCAAAATCTTTTTGGCTCTTTCTTTTCAATTTCAAAGAGTTGCGCATGAGTCTGGCATTTTCTTCTCTAAGTCAGTCAAACTCGGATTCCATTTTCATTAACACGAGAAAAAAATAACGTGAATATATATATGCGAATCGCACGTCGCACAGCCTTGATCTATCGATCTGCGGGGTGAAAAAATAACTCAAATTAATTTTGCAAAAAATGATAGATTTTTATACGAAAAAAAGACGATATCGTCTGCGCATTTCAGGTGATCGATCTCGGCAAAAATGCATCATATCTACCGCACATTAAAAACAACCGCGAAATATTAACTCTACCGAACTTTTCACATTAACTATAAGGTATGTAAATTTTTATTTTTCCGATGCAGATTTACTCATTTTTATTAACATAATTGTGATGCGAGCATGGTACATAGCATGGGACATAAAATAAATACAATGAACTTTTGGTCGCACTTATCCAAGCCTCCTAACGTATTAAATGTAACAATTGATGGAAATTATATTTATCGGGATAATGCTTTAATTCTTGTATATCAAAAACCTTATAACTTAAGTAACAATTTTACTTGTGGAGTATTTGGAAATTTACGAATGAAAGATATAGGTGGCATAGTTTGATCATTTCGATTTTTTTGATTATTTTGACTATCTCGATATTTGTAGTCCTCTGCAAGCTTTCCAACACGTTCCTACATTGCAAAAGATAAAGTTATAAGAATTATTTCGTTATAAACTCTAAGTGAAGATACCACATACTTCCAAAGCAATAACATGGCTAATTGCAAACTCTGCTAATGGGATTGAAGCCTTCTCGACTACTAACTTTGTCCTAAGAAACATCCAGGAACGGTATAGTCCGTCATACCTTAGATCCATGAAAAACGATTCCATCCATTCCCCTAATTATCACGAAACCTTAATTCAGTAACATACTACAAAATATAACAGCTTCTTTGTAAGCACATACCCATATTTAAAAATATACCGGCTTCGGCCGGACCACCTTTTTTTTGTAGTTGCATATTAATTGATTTGTGGGCTCGTAATTGTGCTTTTACAGTGTCTTTTTTCTGCTGTAGTGGTGTACATTTTAAAGGTTTTATTTCCGAGTTGAGAATTGTGACATTGTCAACTACACAAGAAAGGTCGGGCCTTTTTCTTGACCCTGATGTTGCACGGTTCAGAACAAGTTTGTACTCCCTTAAAGGATTAAGAAAGAAGGGTTTGGTAACTGGGTAGAGAAACATGTAACAATGTTCTTCTTCTGTTATTTTTTCCATCATTTTTGATAGGGACATTGATAGGCCATTATATCTATGTAATGTATAAAAGAAAGATCGTTGTGAGCCACAAACTCATAGATAACAAACAAAATATGATGAAACTTGCATACTTACAAATCATTGAATGAGCACGCTACATCTCTACTTAGCTTCGTTTTTCCACCATTCATAAAAACATCTTCACCGATGAAATTGTTACAAGTTGTTTCATGAAGGGACGTTGAAACCTCTTTTGAAAGTGGGGAGTTTTTAATAGTGTATGGATTTGATTTTATAATTTCTGCCCATTCTTGATTCGTAAATATCTTAGGATATGGACACGGCCAGCTGAGAACAATGATTGAAGATAACGCTCTAAATGAAAAGACGAAAAAAAAAATTTAATAAATCTTGGTTTAATCGTTATAAATGTTATATTTCAGAATGCCTACAGAGATTCGTAAATGTCTTCGTAATCTAAACCTTCTCGTTCCGCCTTCCTGAGTATATTTTTTTGGTAGTTCCGAAATCTATCTGTTACGTTAATATTGTCGACTTCCCACTAAAAAAAAGAAAACTGAGATTTGCGAAATATAAAAACAAAAATCCAACACATGACATACTTTAACTGCTGGCTCGCGCTGTAATTCTCCTGATATATCATTAAGATCAAACTTTACTTCCTCATCGTTCTCATCCTCAAGATCTTCACTTGGCTCAGTTACCTCACTTTTGTCTTGTATGTTCACGCCTGAATCAATATACTCGTCAAATGAAACACCAAACGTTTTTGCCTGACCATATTACAAAAAATGAGACGATCAATGAAGAACAATTAGTATTTACCTTCTTGTGACCTGATATAGAAATTGCATCAAAATGATTAAAACTATTTACCTCTCCTGATTTTTCGGTATTAAATTCGTCGCTAGTTGTCAGCCCAGTGTTAACGATTGCTTCTTGTTGCAGATTATTCATAGAGGGAACATTTCTCGGTCTTTTTATTTGAGGAGTTTCAAACTCACAAGGAAGCTAATCCACAGAACATATAAATAGGTTGTTTTTATTCACAGAAATATTGGGAAGGTGGCCTTACCTTTTTCGTCTGCTCCATTGGGACTACATCATCCGTTGTTTCCTCTTCATCATCTCGGAAATGTTTACCAGTTGAACGACGATTGTCGATATTATCGATAGACACTGTATTACCAGTCGCGAGCACCTGTTGTTGTACCTAATCGAAGAATAATGTTACTCAAGTTTTTTTGTCTAAGAAATTTTCGGGCTAGGATCTCACCTGATTAAACTCGAACTTGATACCTGTATCATTGCTCATTGTGGTCCAACTCTTAATAAAAGAATGCAGAATTAGCAGTGCTTGCAAGAAACATTATACAATAAGCATAAATACACAAGCAAAGAAAGCGTCGAACGAAGAGTTCATCACGTGGACCAAGAGTCACAGCTTGCGCTTTGCTTGAGTATCGAACGAAGAGTTCATAACTGTAGACCAGGAGTCACAACTTGTACCCGGGAAGAACAAAGAGTTCATAACTGTAGACCAGGAGTCGCAGCTTTTCCCTAACTTGTAAATCTCTATCTTGTTAAGAAAAAAACATACTTTCCAGTTGTCAACGATTCTTTGAGCCTTTCTCTTACGCGTCGTGTCGAATTCAGAGTTCGCTTCTTTTACCTTTTTGAGATCTTTTTTTATGCTATCTAGTACTTTTTTCCGGTCCTTTTGTTCTGAAGTAGTACGATAAAACTCTATAAGCTTTTCGCAAGTCCAGTCTTCAACTGCTTTATGTTTGTAAAAGTCCATTGAGTTGGAAAAAGGAGACGCGGTATAAGGGTAGGGTATTTGTTTACATGTTTTTTTCATGCAATGCGCAAATACAATTATAATTGGTTAATTTTGCAGATCATTAAATTTTGATTGGTTTATTTTCATGCCATGCGCAAACAAATGG